CAAGACACCAAAGGGACAGCACAGGCCAGAGGGAACCAGAACGCAATAAATAATTGCTCTCCTCGCCCATGTGGCATCCCACAGGCCCCTCAGTTTTCTGTCTTTTGGTGGGTCCTGATGCTCCTTTATAAACCGGTTTCATGGCTCTTTCTGCTGTAGGTTTAATTCCCTTCATCATATATATATAGAGTTTTATTAATGGAAAGTGTCACAAAGCAGCTTTACAGGGAGTAGGGTCTTTACTTCGGTCAGCAAGCGCAAGGTGACCGTGGACAGGAACAACTCAGAGTTAGATGAATAGTTGTCATTATGATCACATGCAGGTTCACTTTTAGTTGCTTTCTAAAATGCGAGCAAGTTTCTTAATGCCAGTGTTGAAGAGTATGCTGACCTCAGGAGTGTTCAGTGAATGATTTCAGCTGAAGGGGCTTCCACTGAAGTAAATGGAGGTAATCAACTAAAGTTAGTCCTTTTCTACAGAGTGGATCATGCAATTTGTTTTTAGATCACTGTCGTTTGTTCTATACTTCCTACACGACCCTGCTTAGCCAGGACTTGATATCCTCCACACAATGCATTCTGACACGGTTACATAAGAAGGCGTTTGTGAGCTATTCTTAGCGCTGCCTCACTGTGATGCGCTGCCTGGAATAAGAAAGCCCAGACCTGACAGAGCGGGAAACATTCGTGTCGTGAGGAAAATAAGGCTCCCGTCAATTTTTTCCCCTCCCTCTCTTTATTATTATTTTATTGCTGCTTTTGGGGCAACGTACAAGAGGCTGTGTGTTTGATAATAATATGTTTGCTCCACAAAACAAAAGGCTGACAGTAAATACACAGTTGAATATAGCATACAGCATATGTGAATATATTATTACTCATCTTTTTACAGTGATTTACAGAATTTTCATTACTGGTTGACTATATTCTGTCTGGGGGAAAAAAAAGTATTTATTTGGATATTGAATTGTTTATGCTCGTTATATTTAGATTAATCTAATGCTCAAGTTAATCTTTAAAAAAAAACACTAAGCATTTTTACAGAGACTAGCATTTTTCCAATTGTTTTCAGCGGGAGTGCCAAATTTTCAAAACGGCAATGAGTGAGTGTCTATTTCACATTTTTACTGGTCGCCGTGAGTTGAAGACAGGGCGGACAGAGTACACAGCTTTATTACTTGAGTAAAAGTACAGAAACACCTTGCTAAATTTTACTCAAGTAAAAGTAAAAGTACTACAGTCAGATGTCCACTTATTAAGTAAAAGTACTGTAGTACTTGTTTTTAAAAGTACTTGAGTATCAAGAGTACAAGAGTCAATTTTCTAAATATTGCATTACTACTGCCACAGTGCTTACATTTATGTACAGAAACGTCCTACGTGGACTTATGAAAAATGTTAATACCTTGGAGAATGTGAAAGGAATTGAAAGTAAAATCAAGTCGTTTTCACATTTTACCATGTTGCTTTATTTAACATTTAAGAAAATGTCTGAACATTCTGAAAATGTAAATAGTCTGGCGAAGGTGAGGCCACGGGTTGGCACATTCACGGGATGGACTGGCTGCGTCTTTATTCATTGTTTTGTCCATGGTTTAGTCTCTTATCTAAATCTGACCATGGAGTTGACTTTGGCGGAAAGCTGAATGTGATTGCTGATAGGCTGTCCCAATCAGTGGCGCCTGCACAATCCAATCACGTTTTTCTTTTTTCCATTTATTTTCTTAGAAGTATTAACGGGTACTCACGGTTATGGATAGAAATGTAGTGGTGTAAAGAGTACAATATTTCCCTCTCAAATGTACTTGAGTAAAGTCAGGAGTACTCCCCAAAAATGATACTCGAGTAAAGTACAGATCCCTCAAAATTGTACTTAAGTACTGTACTCAATTAAATGTACTGTAAATGCTCTGGTTGAAGAATGTTCAATTTTGGGTAAATCGCAGCGCTCATCACTGTCATTTTTTACCCAGCTGTCCCATCACAGTGGAAGAGGGGTGGGACACATCAACCAACTGCCACACTCTGCTTGTATTACGTCAACAGATGACAACAACAAGCATAGTACCGGAACAAACTAATTTAAAACAAGAGCCAGAGCAAATAGTTTATATTGTGTCAATATTTTTATATAGAAACCGCACAGAAACAAACTATCTGTGAAATGAGAAACACTTCAGTGGATATTCCGTGTCATAGCAAGCAAAGCGTCTCAATTGAGAAAAAAAAACAAAAAAAAAAAAACGCTGAAGCGCCCACAGCTAGGCATTTTCAGTGCCTAGCTTCTTCGGCTCGCTAAATACGCTTTGGTGACACACAGCCTAATCATTTAAACACACTTAAATGCATTTTTTTAGCAAGTCTCAAAATGAACATCCATTGTTCATACTGTTAATCATAACGTTGTGTAATGCTAAGATTAATTTGTTGCATTTAAAACAACTGACCTATTTTTTTGGCAAATTTTTTGTTTCTACTGTTTTATTTGTTTATTTTTTTTTACATTTATTTAGACAAAATAGAACAGAAAATAATGGATATTTATACCGGCTTATCCGTATCAGGCAGAATTTTAATATCACTTCATCCCAAGTTAGCATATTCCAATTATCCAAAAATGTTGGCAAATTAGCATTCGCCGAGTTCTGCAGACGCATGTAAATGTGTGTGAGGGTGAATATTGTTGCAGTTTTTGGTGTTAGAGAGCCGTTTGTCACTCACGTCATTTCATATTGTGAGTGCTGAAGTCCTAATCTGCCCTCTTTACCTCCTCTTTTTCTTTTTCTAGCTCTCAATCCTATTATTCTTTCTGGTAAAACTCCTGAGATGTATAGAGCTCACAAAGCATCAAGATCTTTGACATGCTTGTCAAATAATAGCATTGTGGATGTGGATAAAGGATAGCAGGCAGAGATTTTTGTTCACCTCTCAGCAAACCTCTCCTGTGTGACCTTTCAGAGGAGGAGAGTCACAACATCCCCCAGCAATGCTGCACAGTCAGGCAGGTTCAGACCTCTCCACTTCTCATCAATCAATAAACACTTTATAAACACTGGCAGGCAGCTTTTTCTCTTCAGCCAGGTCATGACTCAACAAAAGAGATTCACAGGTCATACCACATGCTGAAAAGTATTGCACGGCAGTATTCAGAGCCTTGGGAAACAAAAGCCATTTAAAGAAAAATATAAAATCATTGATAAAATTGGGAGAATTAACTATGAGTCAAATTCTCCTAAGGGGTAATAATGGGATGACCGTTTTATTTTTCACTATTATTTACTACAGGATCTGAATTTTCATTTGTTTAAAAAAAAACATTTTGTGATAAGAGACAATAAAAACAGCTTCAAAATGCTGTCTGTCTGTCAGAGAAGATACATAACGCACGTGAATAAATTTGTTCTTCACTCGCTGAAATTGAATTGTAACGATCAAGGAACTGAGTGAAACTGAAAAACTTCACCTGGTTAGTGAACATCGTTCAACATGGTGTTTTTTGACAGACATTCTTTTGTGCACAAACTATGCATTCTGTTTCTGATAATCCTGATTTGAATATTTTCAATAATTTTCTTTTCTTTGCTGATCTTTTTTATATATAATTTTGGCAATATGAACTATTAAACAAGTGATTAAAGAAGGAAGTAGTCCAATTTGACTCTCATATGCTGATGTGATATACAGAATATTTATTATAAACTTGACAGGTGGTTTTTATAAAATGGAATTTGATCAATATCTTTTTAAAAGATTAAGGCAATATCATAAGGAAGTTATAATTAAATGTTGTTTAATTTAAAAAAAAGATAATACATTTTACATGATTTATTAAATTGAATTACCTCTCAGCAGATTTTGACTCATGTGTTGTCCTCTGCTCAATGAAATGTAGTGAAGTTTCTCACAGAAGTCCTTGTTGAGTGAGTAGGCGTATGGTTCAGTTCCTGGAGTGTACTAAGCACAGTTTAGAAGTTGGCCATGTTCACCGAGGACAAGTTTTGTGATATGTGCCGTGAAATTTGCTCTGTGAAATATTTAAACTTGACAATGACTCACTAACTTGCTCCCTAAACGTGAATGCAATATTCACAGCTCCTGAATTTATTATCTTACCTGTATCAGTAACACCGAAATCAGGGACAGATTTTTCCCATTTCAACGTGTAGGTTGTACTGGTTTCATTCATATGTCTGGGTTAATACTGTATTTTACTGTTAACACACAGCAGGATTTATTTTTTTTTTTTCTGAAACAAAATTTACTTACTGCATAACTATCGATTGCAGTTACAACAATAATAGCATATTCATTCATTAACATTAACCAATAGAAAAGCTGTAAAAAATAGTTGCTTATTTATATTTATCTATATACGAACTATACTATACTAATATATAATGATAATATGTTTAACCTTGTAAAGTTTTGCCAAAATAAAATTTGTGTTCTTAATACTTTGACCTTTCATTGTAACCAAAAGTCAAACACTGTTCGTTTTGGATGGTATTTCTGTCTGGTCAGCATTGGGTGTGATGTTCTCTGGAGCTCAAACTTGCATCATTGTTCTTGCGCAAGTCCCTATCTAGGACACGAATAAGCCAGGCGGCAGTTTCCTGCCGGGTTGCAAAAGTGTCAGTGTTCTGTCAGGTGACATTGTAAAATTATTAACAATGTTTAAAGTGTGTTAAACAGCATACATTCTCATCTAAACACACCATCACTCCCTGTCTGGACTCTGCAGATGTGCTTTTAAGTACGTCACACATTAGAGAGCTTTGAATATATATGAGAGTATTTGGAATAATTGGCTTGAACTTATGATGAATTCTGGGTTGTGTGGATGTTATGCACTGATACATCGAACAGCTAGCTAGAGCTTTCACTGATTAGCCACGAATGTGGGTCAAATTTTGGAATGGATGGAGTGTGAAAGAGAAGAGAATCTAAAAGAGAAATAAACAATTAAAAATCTATCGGTCTGTTCCTCTCCTTCTAAACAGATCTGAGTGATCAGCTTCTGGAGGTGGTGGGTTTGGAAGGAGCCATCGAGATGGGTCAGATATACACGGGTCTCAAGAGCGCTGGGCGGCGCCTTGCACAGTGTTCCAGTGTCACCATCAGGTCAGTAGTTCATGCCCGTCCCCATACACATTGACTAAGAGTTCAGTATTTGTCCAACTCATAGACAAACACTCTGACTTCTCGTGTCCATGACTCTGAAACGTCTCTCTATTCCCCCTCCCCCTCAGCAGGATGTCCTATCTTGGCCAGTGTGGCTATTAAATCAGACCTTTGACCCACTGTCACTCGCTTTGCCAACAGCTCTAACATTCTGGACTGCTCGTACTGATGAATAATGATGTTTGTAGCATGTCTAAACACACACACTGCTCAGTCCTGACGTATGCTAATGAACCAATGGAGACTCATCACATCTGAGGTGCTAGTTCACAAGTTTGTGTTGCCCGGCTTGCTACGCTCCATTAAACACTCATAATGAGCTTAACAGTTAGAGCTGAACTGAAGCGAGGTGGTTATTCACAATTTTCACTGCTGTTTCCTCACCTGTATACAGTCTGCCTACGACCTAATACTTTCCGTAATCTGCATTAACAGGGCATTCATCATTGTCATTCTCCCATGCTGTGTTGCTTTAACTCATAGTGGCCCTGCTGTAAAGACTAAACTAACTTTTTGTAACTGTGTGTATATGGAGATGGAGGTGCTGAACTGTGTGAGTGTGTTAGTTTAGAGAGTAAGGGGCCTGGCTGGGAATGGGGCTGTGGGAACAAAGAGCGCAGTGTTTAGAGCCGTCCAGGAAAAGTGTTGTATAGGAGCCTCGTGCCCGCGGTCTGCCTGGTCAATGACCTGACCTGTAACAGCTCTGTCTTTCATTCTCTGTTCTTGACTCTATGTCCGCAGGACGTCCCGGCTTCTGCCCATGCAGATCGATGGAGAACCGTGGATGCAGCCTCCATGCACGGTCAGCTCATTTTGATCATTTTGCTTTCATTTACAGTTTTATTTGAATGTCTGAAACACACTCTTTCATGACCCATAACAGACAGTCTGACACACTACGACACTACATTAGGAATTTCTGTGGAAATCCAATTATTCTTAATCCAGAATTTCCATTATGAAATCCAGTCATTTTGATAGGAATCCAAACAATCGGGGCAAAAGATTTCCCCAAAGATTTTTCAACAATGAGTTTAAAAAAAACGAGTCACGCAGATTCGCCACGTTGACCAACAGAAATCTACTTGGTTTGAAAGTGACTTCTCTGTTACTTGTCTAGTTAATACTGGGAAGGACAAGATACCAGTTTTGTTCTCTAGTTTAAATATGCAAACTATACATCAACAATCGCACAATTTTAACCTGAATGTACATGACTGTTAAACTGAAAGTACTCCAGACTCAGGATTGGGTGTAGATGTTAGATTTTAGATCAACTTAAAGGATTAGTTCACTTTTGAAAAAACTTTTGCTGATAATTTACTCACCCCCATGTCATCCAAGATGTCCATGTCTTTCTTTCCTCAGTCGAAAAGAAATTTAGGTTTTTGATGAAAACATTCCAGGATTTTTCTCCATATAATGGACTTCAATGGGAACCGGATGGTTCAAGGTCCAAAAGATAGTGTTAATAACAGTTTCAGATGCAGCTTCAAATGTCTTTAAACGACACCAGACGATGAATAAGGGTCTTATCATGCGAAACGATCGGTTATTTCAAAAGTTATTCCAAAAATTTAACTTTTCTAAGGACAAATGCTAGCCTTGCTATATTCTCTGAGGCGCGTTTGTAACGTCACGTAATACGTAATTACGTTCAAAAGGTCACGGGCGACGTAGCCGGAAGTACAGAATCAAAATCGTCCGACATCGTTGTTTTTCCTTTTAATTCCTTTTTTGTAAACGGTGTTTGAGCTAGTTTGCACGTTCAACCTATGCGTTCAACTTGTAAACACTGACTCTGTACTTTCGGCTACGTCGCCCGTGACCTTTTGAACGTAATTACGTAATACGTGACGTTGCAAACGCGCCTCACAGAATAGAGCAAGGCTAGCATTTGTCCTTAGAAAAGTTACATTTTTGGAATAAGTTTTGAAATAACCGATCGTTTCGCATGATAAGACCCTTATTCATCGTCTGGTGTCGTTTAAAGACATTTGAAGCTGCATCTGAAACAGTTATTAACTGTCTTTTGGACCTTGAACCATCCGGTTCCCATTGAAGTCCATTATATGGAGAAAAATCCTGGAATGTTTTCATCAAAAACCTAAATTTCTTTTTGACTGAGGAAAGAAAGACATGGACATCTTGGATGACATGGGGGTGAGTAAATTATCAGCAAAAGTTTTTTCAAAAGTGAACTAATCCTTTAATGACCTGAAATATGACATCAAATGGTAAAGGCCCCGACATACCTCAAGCACAATCGAAAAACGAACTGATATTACGTAATTTTGAACAAAATCATGCCGAAACGAAGTTCGTTTGGAGTTTGTTTTGGTAGATCGAAACGGCTTGCCAAAGCAAACTTCCTGGAAAAGTTTTCTCCAGGTGCTAAAGGAAACCTTAAAAAGGTATGCATGGAGGCTCCTCCTCCTTTCATGTGAAAATCTTTTCTGGTTTATTTGGCCTGTGCAGTCGGTCGAGGTCAGACATCCGTGAGTGAAAACATGAACACAGTGGAAAGCTGCTTTATAGTAGAAAATGCTGTACTTCTAGAGTTGTACTCTAGTGTATAAAGCGATATATAAATAAAGTGAATTTGCTGGAGTGCCGTAGAGCTCATTCAAACATGACCACATTGCTATAATCAGAAGCTTTTCTAATATTTTATTAAAATGCTTGCCGTTTTCTCAATATTGTTGTGTGTGCATTTTATTGTGAGGAAAGCATGCAGCACATATTTACATATTCATCGAACCATTGAATATGTTTACATATTCATCGAACCGCAGTGTGGGTGGCTTCAGATGTCCGATAACAGTATATCGCTGCTCACGTATTTTGAACTTTGTTTTACCTCTAAACGAAGAACGAAAAAGAACTTTGCCATGAGTATATCAGGGCCTTAAGAGTTTACTACTTTTTTTTCCACGCACCTGGTTGGTTTTTGAAGTTGCACCAGAATAACTACAATAAACACATTTAAAAAAAAATAACATTCTGAAAGAGACCACAGTATCTGTCTGTTCTTAAATTTCACAATGTGAAGTCAGATACACCCAAAGCTCAATGATATGTCAATTCAGACTCAGAGTAGAACCTTTTCTCCATCTCAGAAAACTGCCTCCTCCGATCTGTTGCAGCTTTGTACATTCAGCCGTCCCAGCGAGCAGACTGTTAATTAAAACACTGTCATGTCACACCCTGCCATTGACTGATTATGTCATTAAAAGAGGGGAATAAACATGTAGCTTTCCATCTGCACATAGCGCCAACACAATGTCCTCCGCTATATATACATTTCTGTCAGCTCACGCGCTATAAAAAGTGTGCCGCTGTGCTTTTAGTCCTCTCTAATTTGCCCAACTGAGCAGAGGGGAATATGGGATGTTATTTCAGTTTCAAGGTCAGCTCTCACGTTCTCAAATTTGTGCCTGTTAATTTGGACATGTGTGATTTCTGTCAGCTCATTTGCTGAATGTGAATGAGACAACTGCTTAAAACTGTGAGTGATTAACATCCAGAAGGAATTAGCCAACTGTTCAGATTTGGTTGTTTTCGGAGAGTAATCTTTCCTTCTTTCCTGCAGATACGGATCACGCATAAGAACCAGGTGCCTATGCTGCTGGGACCGCCACAGAAAACTCCCTTCTTCTTCTTCAAGAAGCGCAACAGAAGTCGGGACTAAATGTGAGACTCCAAAAATCAGCCACTCTTCTGCAATCATACAAACACACTTAAGCATCTCCACCTTACCAGCCTCTTCTTTGTCTTTGGCTAGTGGGACCCAAAGAGAAGAGACTTTTCAAACACCTTTGTGGAACAAATCAAAACAAATAAAACACTGCAATGGGCCTCTGATAGACTCCATCTCTCAACACAGCCTGGCTGAACCAGTTAAACGGACCTCCTCTGAATGTCATGACCACTTCCTGTGTCTTATCATCCAGAATGTCTTATCAGAGACTCGTGACCTGTAAGCTATGACTCAAATTCCAACCAAATTCCCCCTACCAGTAGGCCACTGCCTCGGGATCACACTGTGTGCCCTCTCCCTCCTCTTGAGACGGCTCATCAGAAGATACTGCCAATTTCCAAGAGAAAAAGAGAGAGTGAGAGGCAGGACCAGAGGAGCAAGAGACTCACTCAGTAAATGGACAAGAAGTGTGATCAAGTGAAAAGAGAAGGAGAGCGAGACACCCTGGCACAATAATGTTCTTCACATGACAGTTGGTGGTACACATACAGTATGGACGTCACTGGGCCCTGGCTTAGCCTAACAGGACCAGGGAACAAACTTTCCTCCTAAAGGAGCTTACTGAATTATACATCAGTGCATGCAAAGCACTCATTCCAGTGCCTCTCTAAGGCTCTACAACATGCCACCACTAAAGAGATGAAACGGCAAACTCATCCATTATGAAGATGTTTATGGGGGTCTGCTGATAGGGATAGGTTAGACTGGCCTGAAAGAGATGTAGCATTTCAGCTTCTGTAGTTTGCCCCGGGCATTTTTGGTGTTCGCCCTTAGGCCGCAAAACTGACCAGTGCAAGTTGTTACAGAAAGCTGGATGTTTATTTAATCCTATACTCCCCTCTAAAACAACAGCGCTAGTGCTCAGTGTTGAGAATGGACCTATAGTCTTTTAAAAAAGAAAACCCTTAGAAAAGAGAATGCGTACTAAAACTGTTTTACCAATTATCATTTATTAGCAAAGTGGCAAATTTGTGCAATAATTTTATTATATTTTTAAGCCAAATCAAAAATATTGTGCCATTCAATTTAGGGGAAGATTCCATTGGATTTTCATTGAAATACCCTGCTGACAAAAAAACAGTCTATGCTGGTTTGCATGTCTGTTGTCTGGATTTAGATGGGTTTGGGGCACCAGCAAGACCAAATGAAGAACAACTTACAACAACACAAACTTTTTGCATTTGTTTTGTTTAAATAGACCTGAAAAATGGCAGACCAGGAGAATGAAAATGCAACTTCACTCTCTGACAGTAGGTGGCGTTTACAGAAAAGAAGAACGTCTGTAGTTTTATGTAACAGTAGTGGCTCAGCATGTGACCTATAGCACAAATCTTATTGTTTGGTTTCTTCCTAGTGCTATGGCTTAGATCACTCTTTATCTGTTGCATTAATGGCATGTAATTGTTTATATCGGTCTGAACAGCTGCAATAACAGTCATTCATTCAATTGAAATGTTTATACGACTCGTTACGTTGATTATACGTTTATATTTTCTCAACAAACATTTATCTTGCCGTGAACTAAGACCAGCAAACCAATTTAGGCGCTTTCATGCCAGTTTTGTCAGCGAGGTATGATTTGAATTCAATTATTTACAATTGGAAATAACAGGAAAAATAATAATGGTAATGCTTTATGACTTTAAGGGTCAATTCATTAACATTAGTTAATGGATTAGATATCAAGAACTACAGCATTTATTAATCTAGTTTAACCCTAATTTATAGTGCTGTTCATTGTTAATTCATGTATATTCAGAATATATTCAATAATATTGATTTTCACTGCCTAAATGTTCAAAAATCTATGAATATATGTATAAAATAGCGTTGACCAGAATTATTAAATGCTGTGAAAGTTATTAATTGTTTGTTTATGATCGCAAACACATTAACTAATGTTAAGAATTTGAATCAAAGGAGGTGTTACAAAAATAAGAATTTAAAGAAAATGTTCTTTGTATTTCTGAGAAAGTCTCCGCTGTAGCTTACAGCATCTACCTTAAGAGACGGGCTGAAATCAATTGAGCGCTGGTACAGTACGAACACTGAATCCTTTGGTCCTCGTCTGTCACAACAAGCTACTGCAGTGGGGTTTGATTTACTGCTGCATGGACAGAGCCTAAATTTAACTTCCTATTTCAGGGAGTGAAACACTATTCCTAATTGCAGCATGAAAACATGAGCTCACAATTTCAGGTCGTCAGTTAAACGGGTGTGATAGCGATCCAGATGAATGAAAAGAATGTTACAGTCACTTCAAGATCCAAAAAGTGAGCTTTTTCATCTTTTAGCCCTTCTGAGAAGGCCTGTGAAGAGTATTTAACCTAAAGATGCCCACTATGTATCAGTATTTGTATAATCCAAGAGCCTTGTTTGCATATATTATGAATGTGCTTAAAGGTATAACTTAATATAGTATCAGAGCAGTGATGCCTAATGGGTCACATGATTGACTGTAGCCATCAGGCAGATGTGCCTGATATAGATCAACATACAGTGATCATCAGATGCTTTCGCAGTGTGCTGGAGGGTCTGTGTTGGAACTGTATATATGTTTCACCAATACAGAACTGGGGTCAGAGTGATTTAAAGTTCAGGTGTGGGCTTTGGAAACTGAGCTTTTACCAGGGTTAGCAGATTAATGTTCCCTTTAAAGAACACTGAACCGCAGAAGCTACGCCAGTGTCCTAAAAAACAAAAAATAATAATAATCTCTCCATATGACCACAGAACTGACGTCCACCTCCAGACGATGGCTTTATCATAGAAGTGAATGTTGGATTAGGCTAATAGAGCCCCATTGTTTCTGTGGTCATTGGACAGATGGTTTATTCAGTGTGACAGCCTGGTGTTTAAAGAACGGCGGTTTGGTTACGAGTGCATGTTTACAACTACTTTTCATTTTACAGTTTTGAATTATTTGAAACAGTCATGTATATATAGATATTGTTTATATTTTCTCTAAAGTTTAGCCACCGCATGCCTGCTGAAACAAAGAAGACAAAGACGTCTGCTTGAAGAGAGACCACGCTGATTGTTGCTACCTTATTAGTTTCATATTATTATATTTTAGACCCTATCCAAGCCCCTTGTATCTATCCACTGTACTTTCCCTTGATCCGTTAGTAGCATGTTCATTGTACAAATACCTCTGTGGCAGTTCTTTGTTCTGTTTTGTATTTTGTAGAGGTTTGGCTCCAATATATGCTGATCACTGAGCAACTCATGAATGTCACCTGGAAATGCCATTTCTAAATCGTACCTATGTCCCCTTCTGTCCCATTTCTGTGAATAACTGATAGCCTTAACTCACTGATACGAATAGCATTTTGCTTGGAGCAAAGTATTTTGCAATACAAGTCACTGAAAAATCAACCAAATGAAGAAAAAAAAAAAAAAGAGGTCAACATCTGTTTTGCTGTGTTGCAATAATTCATTTTTGTTAGTGTCATCACACTGGCCTATACTAGCTCTTTTATAGAAGGAAGGTGATGGAGCGATGTCCTGCACATCACAAAGGAGCTTCATGACCTCACATACATCTTCATTTGTGGACTGACTGACATTTATCTATTATTTTTAGCCGTCCTAAAACTGTGATTGCTCAATCTGCCCATCACTGTCTCTACTCTCAAAACAATAATCCATTTTTATCTGTCAAAACCGTGCTGCCTCTTGCAGGGTTGTGCTCTATTCAGAATTGAATTGAGAATGCCTTTTTAATTCTAATTAAATGCAAGATGCAGAATTGCATATCGAATGTGAATGTAAGAAAGCAGAATTATGAACCAACGTTCAAATAATTGTCATTTTTGAACAAAAAATCTTTATTTTCAAAGTTTTGCAAAGATGTCTTGAAGTTTAAGGGGTTAGACAGAGACATTGATTGTTTGTTTGTTTGTTTGTTTGTTTGATTGATTGATTGACCTGTGTTGAATTTCTTTGAATTACAATACATTAAATTACTCTTACTGTCATTCCAGTTAAAATTCGTGAGGGACATGGGCAATTCTATTTAAATTTCTCCCCATGATTTGAAAAGGTGCAGATTCTTCAATTCTTAGTTTTGACCAACCCTGGACCCTTGAAATTTTTAAGGAAGGTGAACCACAATCCGAGACTTAAATATGATCTTTTAAGCATCATTGCGTTGCCCTCTAACAATGAGAACCAAACAGATGCTCTCTCTTTTACTGCTCATCTTACCAGTCTCGTAGAGACAGTATGGCTTATCTCAGTGTTAGTGCTCTATTGTTAGCTGGGACAGTTGAACAGTATTGAGAGACACTGATGCAGTAGAGCCCATATCAACTCTGAATGTGTTGTTCTACATATGTGTCTTATTCCTGCCTTAGGGTTAATGTGGTTTGTAGCAATTCCCATCTGTGTGGTAGGCAACAGAGTTCAAGAACAGGAGTCCTGCAGGGTGAGAGGGGGTTGCAGGGTGAATCTTGCCCTTGACAGACCCACTTAGACTCTGTTACTCTGTTTCTTGTAAGCTTTTGGCATCCATGTTAATGGACAAAAGAGTTTTATTGAATAAACAGAGAGACTGAAGCTGTGTCTGGTGTCGGTCTTTGGGTGGCTCAATTGGGATTCTGTCTCATATTCAGCAAAGGCGCAGACACAATCCTCTACTTAATGTGATTGAATTTCAGTTCACACAATAAATCACAGAGTTCTGTGCTCCTGCAATGATGATATGAGGTTCTCGGGAGAAATACTGTGAGCCTTTAGTGCTGTGCTTAAAGGGACACTTCACCCATTTGTATTAAGCTTTGTATCTTTAGAAACCCAGTCATATTTTTGAATGGTCATGGTGTATTCCCTTATTTTCCCCTGAGATGGGAGAAATAAGGATTTAAGTGTTTTACTTCCTGCTTATTATGACGTAAAAATACGATAGTTCATTACAAAACAACTTACATTGTAGCTTTAATGGAAACAAGTAAACTTTACAGTAAAACTTTACAGTAAAATAAGACAGTTATTAATTATTTTTTTTGCTGTAGGAAATATCAATTTACATGTTTAAACATTTCTTTTGCTATTAATAGTAATAATCGAGTGATATTTTTCTATGCACAAGGAGTCTGACAACAGCCGGTGTGATCCACACTGAGATCTGATCTCACCATCATCGAGTTTGTCTGTGATTACATGAAGAAACAGAAAAAAACTGAGACAGACTAAACCTAGAACAACTGTGGCAACATTACCAAGACTTTTCACAGCATCTAACTACACTAACCATCACAGCCCTTGCAGTGCCATTTACAGTATCTGATGGATGCCCTGTGAGGCTGTATATGACTGTTTGTTTTTGTAAGGCAGCCCTATGGCCTCTGTGCTTGTAAATACAGCCCTGTTAGAAGTAAAATGCAGATGCCACAACAAGAAGCTGTGAGCTGGGACGAAGCCTACACTTCTTTGATGTGCGGAGATAATGAGGCAGGAATTATCTCTCCATGAACTATTAATAGTCATCAAGTCCCATCATGTCTCTCTTTGGGAGAGCACCAGTAGCCTAAGGCTGCGTTATCCTTCATTCCACTTTATTAACTGCATGTGTCGAGCAGATTATACAGAGTGCATTCCTTTATTCAGGACTCGCCAATCATATTACATGGGTTACATACAAGATTAAGGTTTAAACTTTTTGATTTTTCTTTGTTACAGATATGATGCAGGTGTAGGGATCAGATTTGCGGCTCTGTCTGTCACTATTTTCATGTGCAGTACATCTCCTTCCATGGATTAGCCCACATTTTCAGAGAGGGGCACAGTGCCAGAACTGTCACACTGGCCCAGTCATGGGCACAAATAAGCCCTTCTGATGAGCTGAGCCTCTCTGCGTATCACAGTGAGTGAGAGCGGATCACTTCAATATCCGTCCCTTAAAAAATGTAACATATCAGAGAGAGAGGTGTGCTGCTGTGCCACTTATTCCAGTGTCACCACTCAGGATTTAGAAAGCAGAATGGAAATACAATATGCTCTTGGCCACCCCCTTCCTCCCACCACATTAGTGAAAGGTGCTATAAAAAGGAGACCCTGGCAGCTCAAGCAGTGTCAGCAGGAGAAACAATGACACCAGTAATATGCACATCTCTTTCATGCTATCATTGTCCTCCTGTAAAAGTGCGCTCTGCTCGAAAGCCAGAAGGATTTTATAGATTATCCTATACTCAAACTTGACATTTCAACTTGAATTTCTCTCCCTCTCTTTTTCACAGAAACCACTGTTAAATATAGATTCTAGGACATCTGGCCTTGACCACAATATTACATTGTAAATCCCTTGCACATCACAAGATTGCGCAGTTCATTGTGATACCACTGTAGCGGGTAATACATAATAATAATTTAAGGCATTTTATTTTGAGTAAAATAATGTAGTTTGTTAACTTTGCATTTTGTTGGCCAAGTAAAGAAAATGTAAAGAAAAATTTGAAAAAAGTAAAGTAAAGTAAAAAAAAAAAAGTAGCCTAAAGAAAATTTTGTTGGCCATGTAAAGAAAATGTATTTTAAGAGACTTTCATGTTTTATTCAACAACATAAATTAGAATAACTTTTGTTTTTATCATAAACTTATAATCAATATTCTATTATTATACAAATTTTATGTATTTAACAGATTTTTTTGCTGTTTTGAGAAAACTTATTTTTACATTTCAGTTTTAAATTGTTAATACAGTTTTTGAATATTTATTGCATAGAAAAATGAATGTAGGCCAAAGTCTCTTCTGTTTGACAGATATTAATTTATTCATAAACTGAAAAGGAATGTTCTAATATCGTATATGAAATTCCACAGGAAAGGAAATCCATGCCAAATTAATCAGTGTTTTAGAATAGTTATGAGTTATTTGGAAAGTTTGAGACATGAAATAACTACTGACTGTTTGTTTGCCTCATGTGAATTGTCCTCCAACTTCTCTAATGTGTTTTTCTGACGATACTTCTTGGTCTCTGGCCCTTTAAGAGCTTGTGGAACGTGCGAGGAAAAATCTTGAAAGTGAATGAAACTCAGCCATTCATAAAAATAGGACTGCGTTTAGGGCTTCGATTGGTCGTTCAGTGCTTATGCATATTCCAAGTTATTCTCGCAAACCATTGGTTTAGAAATGTGAATGACGTGCCCTCTGAGCCAATGAGCCAAATGCCTCTCGAGCCCTAGGGAAAACCGTGCAGTCCATTTACACAAACCTCATTCAAGTTTTGAGTGTCGGAGAGAGCGCATGTATTGATCAGTGCGAGCGGACGGCATCCTTTTGGGATTACAATCTGAAACTGTGTTTTTTTGAGTCCATTGCGAGCCGTCATCTATAGGGTGAGTTTAACCCTAATTCTTCAAATATTTGCATGGCGTGCACTGATATCTGTTTGAAAGCGGTTGTTTCTCCGCAGCGCGTAAGTTTAATCGTGGGATTCCAACGGCAAATACAGCTATCTCGCCTTGGGGGGAAAGCGAACGCCATTTTCTCCAAGAGAGGGCTTATTCACTTTGGCAACCATTTTAATGCACGAAGTTTTTCCTGTCCTTATTTTGCGCATTTGCTGTTGTTACAGAAGCTTGTATGGTCCGCATTAGTGCACTAACCTGACATTTATAGGTGAGGACTGTGCAGCCTGAACAGTGTATGGTTTTGTGAATGGAGGTCTCTCGTTCTTTCCCCCCCTCACGGATCGAGTTTCACTTCATTGAGAAAAACAAGAGGCCGTCAGGGGGCTCCGAGTGGGAGGAGGTCCTCACCCCTGCTCAATTTTAGATTTGCTTTAAGTACACACTTTGCTTAAGCACTTAATTTAAGGGTATTTTTCTCGACCATTTCCCCATAATAATACTCAAAGTATTTCAAACGTGTAAATTATTTTATTCTAATAAGAAAATGAGAGAGAGAGAGAATGGAAAGTATTGTTTTCTGGTGATTTACGTTGCTGGTCATAACATTTTCTACTAGTTTATTAGTAAATTAATTCTACTAAGTTAAGTTATTTATCATTGTTTTAATTCATTTTTGGAATAAGAAAAGTTCGGATTTAAGTATAGTGTGAGCGGGTGAAATGCGAGCTGTTTCGTTGTGCATGTAAACTATTTATGACTGAACAACTATTAGCCGAGGAAGTTTTCCGTACTTTCATCTCTAGCTGATAATTGTCAGTTATATTTTAGTTACACTTCCATATTGTCTCCTCTATTAACATTTAAATGTGTACATGTCTATGAAAAAAATATTTAATATTTATAATTAATGAAAATAAATTAATAGTAAAAAATAATTATAGTATAAATGTGTGTGTATGCTTGGCCAACAATTTTGTTTTTCTATGTTTATTTATGGACTAGTAATATAACTGGAATATCATTGTGTCATGAAATATATGGTTTCCAACTTTCTTTTTTTTCCTCAGTTTATCTTCATATCCTCATCACTCTTTTCATGGGCACAGATGGTTGGCTTTGCTTATGTAAGGTTTACATTCATCTCGCAGATTGCATTATGCAGATCTCTCTCTCTCTCTCTCTCTCTCTCTCTCTCTCTCTCTCTCTCTCTCTTGCGCGCGCCCTCGCTCCTCTGTCTGTCTTTACACATAGAGAGGGATGTTGTGATGGCTAACAGAGAGAGAAGGGGGAGGATGAATACACAGGATCAGATGGATCTGAGCGTTTGTTTGTGGGGCTTGGTGTTTTGATGTGGAACACACTTGACTGTCCAGTGTAGATCTATTGAATGACTAATCTATTTCCCTCCCCCCTTAGAGAAAACCGACCCAAAGAGGTCAATATAACAATCGCTTTTAAGCGAAGACCCTTTTCTGGGAGCCTCCTTGAAGACCCAGGTGAAATGGATGGATTTTATGACCAGCAAGTACCTTTTATGGTCCCACCTAATGTAAGTATATTTATGCATTTCAAAAAAACAAATCTAAATTAAATTAGTCAACACTGACCAAAGTATTTTTCCACAGCAGAAGTCATTGCAATTGGAGGAACCATATATACGACCAGTTAATGAGAGAAAAAGAAAATTAGTGGAGACTGAACTCGCTCAGGACACAGAGGGTAATTTCAACCTAATGAACATGACTAATGCATGTTTAGCAGATGGATCCGATTATTGGGATACATTAACAGTGAGAGAGCAGAAGTATATGTGCTCAAAGTAGTTTAATCGATGCTGTGATTGTTGAAGGCTGCCTTTCATTTATCAAATACTTGGATCGTAGTGGTTTTCGAGCTCTCTGACTGTCTTGGTTTGCCTGTCATCCGCAGAACTTTTCCAGGACCTCAGCCAGCTGCAGGAGATCTGGATCGCAGAAGGTTTGTAGCCTATTCATTTTCGTGCATGTCACTTGTGCTTTTTCTTGTAGCTGACATTTATATTTCAGACTCATGAACATTTCTTATAATATATATAATTTCTAAGTGTCCCAGCTCCTGTTTATTTTTCATGACATGGTAGCTATTTAATTGGGTCTGTTGCACCAGCTTTGGGGCAGTGTCTAAAATGTTGGCACTAAGATGAATGTTGATTTTTAGAGGAACTAAATGTTGTCTGAGAAAATGACTTTGATCTGCCAATTGTTTATCGGCAAGGGACCATTGTTTGCAACTCCTTAATGCTCTCCAATCTCTCTCCACAGCTCAGGTGCCCGATGACGAACAGTTTGTCCCAGATTTCCAGTCGGAGAGCTGTGAGTACCTCGAGATGTATTATTTATTCTCCTTGGCAGTGTACTTTGGATGCCGTCCAGGAATGGCTAGGGAAAACGGCAGAGGCTGAACTCTTGAAGCTATTTATTATTCATCTCTTGCTCAAATTTAAAGCCAAAGTTTCATGGGAAACAAAGATCTTAGACTAAGGATGGTACTGAGTGGCCAGATACTCTTATTGAATTTAATTTGTTGAAGATGCCAACAGTCAGTCTCACAAAATAATGAAGCTCATTATATAGTTTATATTATATATTTTAGCATCCGATAATTTTTTAAAGAATTTGATTTGCTCTTTAACTTGGTCAGCAATAGTGCTTTGATTTATTAGGACTTAAAATTTTGTCTTTTCTCTTTTCGTTCTTGCCTGAATCCTCTCAGCGAGAACCCCCGCAACTACCTATTTTTTTTCAGTTAAATCAGCCGATTGGTATCAGCATCACATGATCCAAGCTCATAATCAGATTTCACACTTTCATGCACTCTGTTTAGCCTCTGGAATGGACCGGATTCCAACGGGAAGGGTGAGAGGAAAAGGCTTCCCCTCACTGCCTACCTGAACCCATTGAATCCACAGTACTGAATCTCATTTCATTGAGGGTTCTCTGTCCAAACGCACCTAATTTGTTAGAGCCTGGCCGCAGGAATCAAAGCCAAAGGAAATACTTGAGGAATGCTTGGTGGAGCGTTTTATGTTATTTTTCTCCCCGTTTTGTCACTGAAGTTTGTTTTTGTTTTCGTCTGATGTTGAGGCTTGGAGACAGGGTGTGTACCAGGGCATGCATTTTGGTCCAGTTTTGCATGTCAGCGTGGCGTTACTGAAAAGCAGAAGATTGTTATAAACGTTTGTGACATGCTGTTTATAAAATGAGGCACTTTTTGGACGTAAGCCAAGGGTTTCTTCATGTGCAAGCTTTTTTTTTTACAGTCTTTTCAGTATCAACGGGTCATCTGGACGTCACATGGCAGCCCATGCCCTCCTACACTATCCCAGTAGCATATCAATGGGGTGTGGGGTCTTCTCTTGCAAAAACCCCAATGTCAACAGAGCAGAAAATCTCACTTTAATAGTTTATGTGGAAGAGTGCATGTACCTTCACCCCAAATTAAAAATTGTCATTCCAAACTTGTAAGACTTGTCCATCTTTATCTATCTTTTTAATGAAAATCCATTCCACAAAAACTTCAATGCTTCGAAAAGTCAAAAAAGCGCTGAAGCTACACAATCACTTTTAAATGGTGAATAGGTTTAATTTATGCTACTATTCACATATGGTCAATGCACATAGAGCACACCGAATATGCGAAAAAACCCTTTAACGCATGCTTTTGTGCTTTCACGTGCCTACTGAGTGTCTTTTAAGCCCAGTACAGTCTGGGTGATTTATCTGGCTCGACTTGTGGATCCAGTTGCGTTGGCCATTATGTGGCGCCGGATATGAGAGCTTGATGCAGAGATCCAGGGGCTAATGGTTACAGTGCGGGGAGGAAAATCATTCACAATCATTGAATTACGACCACACTGATTCATGAGTATTGACTTGGCTATGATGGAAATCAGAGGGGAGTGCTTTGATTGCATGTGTTGTTCTGCACCGTGATAATGATAGGCAGAACGAAGAGCTTTTATGCTTCACAGTCGATTGTCATTACCTGTGAAATATGGGGGTTTAATGGTAGAGAAGAATCTCCTTAAGCGTTTCACTGCACTTTTGTTGATGTATTCGATTAGAAACATCTCCTCCTGCTTTTTTTTTTCTCCTCCCAGTGATGTTTCATGGTCCGCCACTGGCTAAGATCAAACGGGAACTGAGTCCCTCCAAAGAGCTCTCTCCCTGTAGCCAGGATAGAAGTCCCATGCCGTATGGAGAGAAGTGCCTTTATAGCTACAGGTACTTTCTTATATCCATCTCAGCATCATTAAGACCTTCTTGTCAACATGTTGAGTGTGATGACTATTCTCATTTTCCTCAATGCAGTGCCTATGAAAGGAAGCCCACAGCTGGGTTTAAGCCATTGACTCCTCCCTCAACACCCGTTTCGCCATGTGGCTCCGCCAACACTCTGGGGACACGTCCGCTGCATGAACAGAGTCCTCCCCCTGTCTCCAACACGACATTAGGACAGCGTCTCCTTCATGGGCAGCCTTCAATGACCAAGACGTCGCCTAGCCAGACAACACTCCCTCACCATAGCCAGAGCCCACCTTTTGCAGTGCCCTGTCCACCCCTAAACCGTGAACCACACTTCAATAATGAACCTAGGTCAGTCTCTACATGGTTTTAGAACTTCAGTGAACATGTGTATGGGATACTTTATATCTTCCTGTTAGTATGTACGGAATGAAGGACAAAAGTGAACTACAATGAGCACTACAATATATATTGGGATGTGTATTATATTAGTGTTCGATTGGGGTTTGAAATGTTTTTAAAAGAAGTTCTAATTCTCTCCAAGATTGCAATTATTTGATGAAAAATACAGTGAAAATGTTAATATTGTCAAATATTACAACTGAAAATAACTTTAGTATTTTTTTGAAACATAATATTTGATATATTTTGTAATACATGTCCTTACTCTCACTTTTGGTCATTTGAATACATTCTTGTTGAAGAAAAGTACATATTTTTCAACAACAAAAAAATCTTACTGACCCCAGACTTCTGGTAGTGTATATTGGTGGTTTATGTTCATATGATTATAATTGTATTCTATTATATTATATTAATGATATGACCGATGACCTTTCAGCAATGCTCACTTTGATGTCAAAAAAGTGGTGTAAATCACAGCTGTGGTTGTATAATAATATGACCCCCATGAGAACAGATTGGTTGGCATCCTGTTCAGCCACCTGTAGCTGAATTCCTGGGAGCTTAACAGTGGCACATCATTTACAGCCAGTAGAAGAAAGCTCTAAAGTGCTATTGCCAAGCTGCTCCTTATCCTGCCTCGCATGACAAAACATTTATATTTTTTGCTGTTATCTTGCAGGTTTCAGCGGCAACTTTCAGAGCCTTGTCTTCCATTCCCACCTTCTGACACCCAGGGAAGACCCAACTTCATGCCACAGGTCACCAGCACTTCACCAAGAGATGGAAGGCCACCTTACCATCGGCAAATGTCAGAGCCTCTGGTCCCCGTGCCTCCTCAGGGCTTCAAACAGGAGCTTCTAGACCCCCGTTACGCTGAACAAGGTGTTCCCAACATGGGCCCATCCCAGGCTGCCTTCCACCCAATGGCCATCAAGCAAGAGCCACGAGACTTCTGCTTTGACTCTGGTGAGGACTGTCCCATTTCTTAGAAATGGTTTTTGGGTGTTCACAATCTGGCTGGGCTTCTTGAGAGCTCTCTGGATGAGGGCATGGAATGGGTTTTGTGTGCTTACACGGGCCTGTGACTTTTAGCGTTGTTTAGTGAGGTGTATAGGAACAAAAGCAGGCACACATTAAACCTTTGCATTCAAAGAGACATTCAGAGAAGGCAGTGTCTAAATTTTGTAAGAAAAATATTTATAGTAAAAAGTATTTGTTTTAACGATGCTGTATAACGTTATATTTAATTGTTGATTATCATGATTTTTTTTTATTATATAAGGAAATATTGACATGTCATTAATAAATTAACCTGTAACTATCAAATTTGAACATTTTCAATACATTTACAGCCCTATTAACAAATATCAAAGGTGAATGTGTCATTTAACAAGATTATTCAGTCCTAAACACGCGTTAAACACATCTGTGTGTAATCCTCGTATCTGTGGGTAATCCACTTCAGTTTAAGGTCCGTTTATGCATCCTATTGTCCACAACCCTCCAGCTTAGCTCATCTTCCTGTTTGTGATCCATACATTCTTCTATAATATCCCTCAAGGTTTATGTTTGCAGGTTAGTGATATAATTTCAAATCCTCTTACCGTCCTTTCTTGTAAATGTGTACGTCACATATTACATTTGCATGGGAGGCGGCTGAACTGAGTGTTTTCATCTGTACAGCAGCCTGATAGATGATGCATCTGATTCAATCAGTGAGGACCACATACTCGAAGTAAGACAACAAAGGGGCAGAGTAGCCTGCCGAATCACCAGGACACACAAGGACAGATAAAACTTGATTGTCATGGTCCAGTATCTCATCACAGTGGCTAATCCTATTTGGTGACTCAGTGGACTCATTGCTAATGCTACGTGTTTCTTTGGTGTGTTGATATAAGCTTAGCCAGCACTACCAGATGTGCGAGACTGGACATTCACGGCCCAGCTGTTCAATCTGAGCTGTTCAATATATTTCATCGTCTTACTTTTTCAGAGCTCCCTCAAAACCTCTGTACAGATGCCAAATCCAGAAGTCACTCTTTAAATCTCTATTTCTAAATAAGGAATAGACAGTGTTATTTTAGTATCCTTGAGATACCATTATAGTTTTTGTTATTATTCATTTAAATTAACTTCAAACTCATTTATGATTGGTAATTTCTCCTTTTTAATGGGCCCATTTTTCATGTTGTTTTGCAGAAGTGCCTAAGTGTCAGTCTTCGTTTGGGAGAGCAGCAAGCTTCTACCAAAACCATGAGAGTAAGTGACTTTGCCATTATCACATATCACCTCACTGCAGCTTTGGCTTGCTAAAATTATCTTATCCTTTTTTTTTTTTAATCTTACAGTATCTTTGTTTCCTCTCTCTGCCTGTAGACTTCTCATTTGACCGAGATCAACAGTTGTATTTCGACGACACCTGCGTGGTTCCCGAGAGACTTGAAGGTATTGAAGTTTTTCACCAAGATTTCACCACCGGTTATCTATAGTTTTAATTGAAAGACAAGTTAATAGTCAAGCCATCTCGTAGTAGTTTTATTTTCTAATGTTCAGTGTGTTTTTTTTTTTTTGTTTTTTTTTGTAAAAATCACTTAGGCACCACCTTGTAGTATGACGGTGTGAAATGAACACTGCGTCCACATTAGCAGCATGTGTTTTGGAATTTTTCGTCTGCTTGCTCACGCCACTGTGGCAAACTTTAATCCTCATCATTCTTGTTCCTGACAGGGAAGGTAAAGCAAGAGCCCTCTGTTTATCGGGACGGCCCACCATACCAACGTCGTGGCTCCCTCCAGCTTTGGCAGTTTCTGGTTACGCTGTTGGATGATCCTGCCAATGGCCATTTTATTGCCTGGACAGGACGTGGAATGGAGTTCAAACTTATTGAGCCAGAAGAGGTCAGCACCTATATTCAATATTTTTAGTTTCTGACAAGCACACTCACCATGTACAATAGCCTTACATATTCTCGCTTTTGGGAGCTGAGTTTTCCATGTAATTTTGTGTGAATTTTGGAAAAGCACACCAAAAATGCCAATAGAAACGCATTAAGATGAAAATAAAACTTAAGGTGGATTTGTCGATTTTTCAATCAGCTTTGAATTGTTACGATGTTTGTAGTCTATGTAAATGAACAATGCTTACTCACTCTTTTTCTTACCTGCACCCAGATCTTCTGGTTTATTTTACAGCTCTAGGGCTTTTATTAAAACTAGATTTACAAACAAAACTGCAAATGAATTAAACATGACATTTTAAAGTAGACTGACTGAAATAGTATTTTCTTTTAAAGTGTACTTAATTAGTTCATTATTTATGAAGAAAATCAATTTTTACAGTGTACAGTACATCTTTTTATCCCCCAAAACAATTTCTGCCTTTCTACTGTGTAGACAGCGAATTTTGCCAGTAGTGAATTACTCCTTTTTAAGAAGACATTTCATCTTCATGAAGGAAAAGACATTTACAAAATACATTTTGAAATGCATATTATTTTATCCAGTAAGTCATGTGACATTATGATTATTGGCTCCCAGAACTATGAGACACTGTTACTCAAAGACAAAAGGCATCTGCCACTGATTGTTAGCAAACTTGAATTTTATTTGAGAGTTTGACCGCTCTAAATACCAAGTAATTTATGACAAAGCAACACTAGCTTTCCCAGTGGCTACAATTTCCATTTTTATTTGGTGTCAATTTCCCTGCAAGTGACACCGCTTTATTCATAAATTGGAATGGAATCAAACACAGTTTTGGTTGTGCACCTTAAATTGCTCTCCAAATTAAACTGGCAACTAAATAAAGCTTGGCTAATGAAATAATCCTCGTCTGTGATATCAGGTGGCCCGACGCTGGGGCATCCAAAAGAACAGACCGGCCATGAACTACGACAAGCTGAGTCGCTCACTTCGTTACTATTATGAGAAGGGAATCATGCAGAAGGTAAAGGCAGGTTCACGTTTCTTTTACTTTATGCTTTACTCTTAATGACAATAGTTGCTCCAATTTTCCAAGTTTTTTTTTGTTGTTGTTGTTGTTTGATAATCTAATGCCTCATTTCTCTCCTCAGGTTGCTGGTGAGAGGTATGTGTACAAATTTGTGTGCGATCCCGAGGCCCTCTTCTCCATGGCCTTCCCAGACAACCAAAGGCCCAACCTTAAAGCAGACCCTGACGGCTTGCCCGGGGTGGACGACGACACTCTTCCGTTGGCGCACTATGACGAGGGGGCTTCGTACTTGGTAGACGGTGGTGAGCAGTGTGTTGCTGGGATGCCGTTCCCTGATGCTTATGTGTACTGAGGATGAACAGTTGATCTGACAAACACATCTGTCCCTCTTGCCTCGACTCCTTTTGAACTGTTGCCCACTTTCAGATTAACCCTCCCAATCATTAAAAAAGAATGAGGAGAAATCTGCAAGCCACCTTTTCTCTGGCGTCAGCCCACGAGGAGGTGAGGAAAGTTGGTTTCCCACGCTTAAACCTTCCTCGTGGCAAACGGTCTCTGCCGCAGAGATGAAGAGCTTGAGTTGGAGCTGACCGGCACCGAAAGACTGACGGATCTCACTGCAAGAATTGTAGCAATTCTGTTTTTGACAATCTGCTTTTTAAAAAAAAGAAAAATTGGTAACAAATTATTAAGAGACATCCTCACAGAAAAAAAAAAAAACCTTAAATGCAGCGCTATTTAATAGTTGCCTTTTTGGTCTCCATTTATTTTGTTTTACCTCCAAACTATGTAGACAAGAAGTCAAAAGGGCTTTGTTTTGCAAGGAGGAAAATAAAAAAATGACCCATTTGTTTCTTTAGAAAGCTGGCTTTTATACACTTTTGTTGAACTAATATGGACCGCATTAATTATGCTGAGGAATACTGAACATGTTCTTTTTGTATCATTGGTTTCGTTCTGAATCCTTTGTCAAGTGTTAGTTTTATAAAAACGTGTTTTTTTTTTGTTTTTTTTTCTTGCTGGTTAACCCAGGGGTTGTTGATGTGAAGTTAAACCAGAGGCACTCCTAAATATATTTAGTCAACTTCACAAGACTGTTAAACTTTTAAATGTATTTCTGTATGCCTGTTTATTATTTAATTTTACACTCCCCAAAAAGCCAAAATTTTAATTAGTTTATATAATTGTTTTACTTTCAAAAAAGGGATGCACTAGTCAGAATTTCTCCATGCTTTAGCGCAAGTAAAGGTCAAAAACTTTTAGACTCTTAGAGATTTTTTTTTTTTTGGCATCGTTCTATATTTTAATGCACCAGGAAAGCAGGGCCTTGCATGCAATAAGGTACAAGAAAAATACATTTTCCTGGTCAGCTACTCATTGCCAATTTTAAGTTGACGAAAGACCACTGCTACCTTTTGCATGACATATTCAATGATCAGTTGTCCACTAACATATCGCTTTATGCTGGACAAAGAATAAATTGTGGAGTTCTCTGCATTTGTATTCTCTCTCTCTCTCTCTCTCTCCTTTTTTTTCTTTGGAAAGATGAACTTATATATTTTTGCAAAGTCTGCATTTATTTGATTTTATTGTATAAGCTGTATAGTTCTGCCTGTAACAGATATTTTATGTATGATTTGGATCCCTGCATTGCAGTGTCTGCACACCAGTGGTTACCAGGCACCCTTTCCTGGTGGGTTCGAGAGCAGTGCCTTTAAATGAGAGGTGCAGCTTATAAAATAACCGTTTTCTCATCGAATGAGGGGCTTGTCTCAACATCCACCATGGAAGGGTTGTCTGCACTTGTACAGGCTTAACCTTGTCCCCTCACAATGTGTACCTTACACTGCTGAGTTTATAATCTGTACTGGGTACAATAAACTGTTCATTCTGCTTCACTTGGGCTCCTGTGTTCTGCTTTTTCTTCTGTCACATCTTACTAGCCATTTGAGTGACAGTAGTCATGTTTTGTTTGGTTCATTGAAACTGCTGAGACATTGCATATTGTCAATGCTGAAAACAGTAGAGATGCTTAATATTTTAGTGGAAACCATGATACTTTTTGCCCAATTTTTTTTTAATGAATATAAAGTACAAAATCAATGTGGGAAATATAAAGCCCATTTTAGATGATGGGCTAGCAATTGCTTTCTTGCAGTGAATCTGAAACTATTCTGTATCGATCAGCCTCTATTCAGTTAAAGGCCTCTTGCTGTCCCAGGGGCTGCGCTGTCCTTTCATCAGGACTTCAGATGGTTGGCTAATGCATGTCTGCTCATATGTTCATGCTGTAAGTCTCCCATCTATGATTATTTAATAGCTTTGTATGGATGGGTGAGTCGCATGTGTGATACTATATCTTGCACTTATGTCAAAACATCCACAGCCTCAATTATTCATCCAAACCCATTTATGTTTGCACAACACTGTGCATCTACACTATCATATTTTTCCTTTTTACACTGAGACACTAAAAATTGCAGTTTAGTCTTCATAAATTTCATCCAGAAACTGAAAATGATGATAATCCAGCTGAGGGTGATTGTTAGATCACCGTGGCAACATTCCTCACCCCCCCTGCTCTAGAAAGACACTTAACCTTTGAACCCACCTTCCCGTAAACAACACTGCAGTCAACACAACCAGTTTATTTCCAGCTAACTTCATGCTATAGGCTATAACTGACTAATGTAATAGAGAAGAACACTATACGCAATATGCATTCATGCAAAGAAGTTAATGGCTAGTTCCATCAACATATATTTTGCACTGTGGTCTACTAATGACTGTTATTGAGAAGTATTGATTTCACTTAGCAAACCGACAGCTAATGCATACCATTTGCTTAGGGTACGTCTCTGTTAGTATAATGGAGCAAGACAAAGCTTAAGATATGACATGATCTAACGATCACCACTGTTTATTTTGCCTTGTAAGCAACTGTCCATCTGCTGGGACAGAAATTAAATGAAGTGTGATTACAATATAAGCTCTAATTAATGAACTTCTTATTTTACTCGATTAATTAATTAATTAAATACTTTTTTATGCAATTATATATATTCTTAAAATTAACCTGAATGTAAACGACGGAAGAAATGCAGGGAAAGGCACAAAACGTTGTCCGATTCACACAGTCGGTTTTATAAAACCAAAGGCATAATTTAATTCCCTTAATGTTAAGGTGACCATATTTTGAACACCAAAAACCAGGGCAGTCGGCCCGGCAAACAGGTACTCAAATGATACTTGAAGTTTACTCAAAGATTCCTTATTAATATCAATACATTTAAAGTAGGCCTCCTCTGTATGGATAGAAAATTGTTATATTACAAGACACAAATTCAGGTAGGCTTCTCAGAGGTTACTCAACATGTATTATTATGACAGGTTTTAAAAATAATGTATGAAATAATGATAGAAATAATGTCTCTTCTGTATTAGAAAAATAAATATATAAATAATAAATAACTAAAATACCTCTAAATTTAACAAAGTTTTCTTCCACTTTATCCTGTTTTTCTTCCTTGTTTGCCCATCTAACGTTATATTTTGCTGTAGAGCTGATCTTTTTTTTTTTTAAAACCAGGACATTTTCATCACTTTATAAAAAACAGCCAAGATGGCCAGGATAGGACGGGAAAACAGGACATGTCCTGTGAAAACAGGACTGTTGGTCACGCTACTTAATGTATTTAAATTATATTTGAGATCTAAATGTTGTGTTTGTTTGTTTTGATTTTACTAATTACAACTTTATAAATCTTTTTTTTTTTTTTATTAATGTCATGAACAGAACAATACAATGAGACATAATCCTTCAAAGTGAAACAAAAAAACAAAGTAAATAAAAAAAATAAAAAAAAGAACACTTCATAAATCTAAGGCCAGGCATGAGTCGGGAATCGGGATCATGATGACGCAGTTCGTCAAGACGGAAGAATCGCTGAATTGTTTTTGACCGAATCTTTGAAACTATTCGAAAGAACCGATTCATATCAATGCACGATTTAATAAAAAAAAAAAAAAAAAAAAAAAAAAAAAACATTCTTAATAATTACAGTCTTAAAGGGACTTTGCTAAACTGTTCATTATAACTAGTCAAAATCATCTAAATTATAACACAATAACAGAAAATTATCACTTTCCTGTCGTGCTTCTTTTTACTGGCGCAGTCACGCAGCTGCGCCTAATGATTAAGAGAGCGCTTTATCTGAAGTGGACATACGCTTGGCTGTTTTAATTTCGATAAATACCGCTGCAAACAAAGTCGAACGGATTTTTTCTTGAATTGGATAATTTATGTGTTCCAAATGTGGTATCCTCCACCTGCCGTTTTACCGTTCGTGCTTGAATCTTTGAGTTCCATCCCATATGAGGATCGTTCTGCCACAACCATGTGGCAGGAAGTCATTCCCTTTGACCAACATGCATATGCAGTGAACGGGGTTGTTGGTAAGTCGAGTCCAAAGTAACGTAGTGCTACTAGCATTATTTTTGGTCATTTTTGTAATTATTATTATTTTTTTTAGAAATTTGCGTATTTTGGGTCATATGGCTTTGGGTTCATAACGGTCCCCTACTCCCCCAAAGTAAATCGCGGGTTTACCAACTTTTCCCTCTCGCATTTGTTTTCTTAATTTTAAAACCTCAAACTCCATAAAATCGTATGTTTTGGAAATAGGCAAACTTAGGCTACCAGAAACTTGTTGGTTGTTATTATTTTAATTGATTATCCTAACCATAAGGGAAGTATGGCATACACACACACACACACACACACAATCTTTCGCGTTGAAAAAATAAGGTCGACCACGACGGCATTTTGTGTGCAGCTGCACGCGCATCTCTGTGTGTGAACGGCGCGCTATGATCAACGGACGACGCCTTAAAATTCGGCCAAACATCAGGACCTAACTAACAGTTATAGATAATTAGTTATCTTAAATGTTAACCAGGTAAACGAAATTTGTATGATGTAAGAGGTGCCATTAGTTGACAAATGTTACGTTAGTTTATAGAAGGTTTGTCTTCGTCATGAAGTAACCGTTTTGTGGTGAACTTGGTTTTTAATACAGGCCTAACGTCATGCATTTTGCCAACCGACTTTTTGCTGAATTTCTTACTCATCTCTCAAGGCTTTCACAATGATCCATTGTATTTGTATAACGTTACCACTGACGGAAGGAAGTTTCTGTTGATGAGGTAAGCAATGGTTGATCTAAACAATCAATAAGAAAATTTACCGATTTTATATAGGCTAACTTATATCTTCAGTGTGATTCTATTTTAAGCATTGAGCTTTTTAATCAATACAATTTGAAGTACCACTGTGCCTTTTTAATCTGAGAGAAGTAATTGTGCATTTTCTAGGTCACTGTATGAGCTTGTCTGGGCCAATTATTACCTGGAGCTCAAAGATCCAAAGTTGCTTGGATGGTTCCAATGTTTAACAGCAGAGGACAGGACCTTAATACAACGTAGGGGCATGTAAAGTATAAAATGACCATTAGTCAAATGTATGGGCAATTTTAGAAATATGTGAAATTGCTTTCTCATCGACAGAAGAGGGAGGGTATCTGCTATTTCTGAAGAAACACCCAGGACTTGAAGTAGCCAGACACTACGTGTTTGTGAAACGTGAGTTTAGTTGGTAAATCATTTGTCAGAGCAAGCGTTCTGTATAATGTGTAAAAATATCTCTTTCTAATTTAGCAATCACCAGAGGAAACAGTGTCCCCCCTCAAACAACTATCAGTATGTCATCAAACAGGTAAGTTTTTAATTTGAGTTTGTTTCAATTTGCTGTAGTTTGGTATTCATATGATTTTATTGCCATTCTGTTTCAACATGCTTTACTAAGCATACATTTTATAAACTGTTAAATATTAAAGTTGGCTTGAAATTAAAATTTACCCTATTTTCTAAATGCATGGTATTCATCTTATTGTGAATTATTAATCCATGCAGGTCATTTTTATTTATTGGTTTTAACCTATTTTTTTTTTTTTGTAGTCCACTTAAACTTCTCCCTTTTCAATCTGTCTCCATCCAATCAACTGATTGACAGAGCCAAGTCCCATATATATATATATATATATATATATATATATAATCTCAAACTTCCGATCTTTTAGGCTGGCAGGTCCTCTAACTCTCGTGGATCGCCACTACTCGCCATACTCGTACTCAATGCTGCTATCTCTGACTCACTCACTGAACCGTCGTCGACCTGACAAAAGGTGGCGCTCACCTAAGTTGGGGCTACAGATTATGTCGCTAAACAACCCGCAAATCTAACAGTAGTTCCACATTACATTACATTAATTTGCACACAAGTTTTATTTATTTTTATTTATCATTATTCTCCGTGTTAACACATGCACCGAACCATAATGCCCGTACCATTTCGGTTCAATAAATGCATGTATCGTTCCACCCCTATTCACTCACCTAAAGGATTATTAGCTGTTAGAAGAGCAACTTTGACTTTCCTTTATGAGGTATGCAGCAAAGCATTTGTGAAGCCACAACACGCACAACCTTGAGGCGGATAGGCAACAACAGCAGAAGACCCTACTCTCATCTCCACTACAAATAGGAACAAGAGGCTACTATTTGCAAGAGCTCACCAAAATTGGACAGTTGAAGACTGGAAAAATGTGGCCTGGTGTTGAGACTTTCAGATGGTAGAGTCAGAATTTGGCGAAAACAGAATGAGAACATGCATCCATCATGCCGCCTTACCATTGTGCAGGCTGGTGGTGGTGGTGTAATGGTGTGGGGGATGTTTTCTTGACACACTTTAGGCCCCTTAGTGCTACTTGGGTATTGTTTAAATGCCACGGCCTACCTGAGCATTGTTTCTCACCATGTCCATCCCTTTATGGCCACCATG